TATATCTGAAATATAAGAAAACCATTCCAGCAAAGAAGATAAAAGAAATCATGTATACTAATTATTATAACAACACATCTCCAAACATGCCTCCATTTTAAGTTCTACTTCTTCTGTCCTGTCAGGATAACGCACATTTTCTCCTTTTGTGTCATGCACTGCGTCAAAGCACTCTCTGTAGTCGTACTCCATGCCCCGAGAGGGGTGGCCGAAAAGGCCCGAACCTGCCGCTGTAGGAGGAAATGGCCAGCGAACAATGAAACAGTAAACCTAGCTGCTTAAATATCATGCTTCGCGCTCACCAATTTAAATCATGTACAACGAAGTTACATTCAGGGTACAAGCGCGGTTGCATCTGAAGGGGCATAATCCTCTGTTACATGGCAGTTACAACGGGGGTACAATCTCTAATCTATGCGGTTACAAGCGATGTTCCACTATACGGGCTTCAAAGTCTATTATATGGTGGTTATAATCGAGTTTCAGCGATAGTACAAAGCTAATTCTGCGGCTTTCAGCGTTATATGGAGGTATATAACGAGTTACAAAGCTATTTCTGCGATTTCAGGCAGGTTACACCCGAGGAAGGTACAGATAGGGTATATCACGGTTACAAACGCATTACATAGCCATGTACTTCGGAAGGTATATCTTGGGTATACACCGGTTACAAGCGCGTTACATGGCCCTGAACAGAGGAAGGTATATCTAGGGTATAATCCGGTTACAAGCGGGGTAGATTGCCCTCTACCGCGGAAGGTATATGGCTAGTATACTGCAGTTACAATCGGGTTACAGCAGGCCGACCGCAGGGAGGTATATTGAAGTTACAAATCGAGGTACAATGGAGTAACACCGCGGGCCGGGTAACGGGTCACGCGCGGTTTTATTTTGAATTAATATATTTATTTAATGGAGTGGGCCCGATAAAATTACGTGGCGCTTTCTGATTGGGCATCGCACGCATCGCTGCGTGCGTATTACGTAGGCAAATTTTTTCCCCTGCGGGATTTAACCAATCTGGGACTTAACGGCAACCAGAGAAACGGGATTTAAGGGCTCCTAGGATTAATGATCTCTTTTTCTTTTGTTATTTAATTAAATCCTTAGGTGTTATTTAAATTCCTCATCAATTAATTCAAAAATTTTAACTTCCCCCTAATATCAAAATAAAACAAAAGTACTATTTTAATTATATTATTTAAAGTTAAATAAATTCAAAACTTCCTTCTTTTAAGAATATAATAATAATAACTTATTGTATACAAGTACGAATATTAAATCTTTGAAGGTCCATTAGAATACATCTAATTTGATGAATAAATAAGTTAATTGCAAAACCATTTGTCGCGTACATGTTGTGATTGCGACCTCGAGATAAGTAACATTTTTTTATTAAAGGATAAATGTATCATTGCTCGTTAGGAGCATTAATCCTTATTGTTTGTAGTATTATTATAATTATTTTGTAGGATTGTCAGTCATACATCGGTTATTCAATTATAATCATTATGTTGTATTTTTATATGCTTCTATTATTGCTCATAATAAAGTAACCAACTTCCTAAATATATTGATGCAAAATTCTTGCATTTTTAAATTAATTCTTTATTTCCTTGCACTCTACAGATGTGAAATTGTCTGTGAATTTCTATCATTTCACAAGTCTGTGTGAAATAGCATATTTCTTATATATTATACCTGCAAAAAATATGAGATATGCTTGTGTGTGATGGTATATAGATCGGTGAAACCCTTTCAGATATGGGCTAGCCGAGCCGACAGACCCATGAAGTGAAGTCTCCGCAGGAGATTGTCAGGTTTCTTTGGGTTGATATTTAATCTTTCTGGTTTCAGAGAGTATATATATAAATATAAATGAAAAAACATAATAATAAGAAACTTGATTGCATATTTTCTTATGATATTTGGGTATATTTGGTTTATCACTCATTTTTTGCTTCATGATGTTATATATGCATGAAGCACTCATCTATATTTGTTGTTCATATTGCATGTCTCATTTCTTTTACTGTTTATGCTTTAATAAATAATTGTTGTTTATTGAATTTGTTTGTTAAATTCACTCTTTGATATTTTTTTATAACAGATTATATTCAACCACCAGTAAGACCGTCTCCACCAGAGCTAACTTTCCAATTTAGTTTTCCAGTTTTGTTTTTTTCCAAGTATTTTGTTTTAGTTATTGTATTTTTCCTTGTTGGGTCTGGGTAATCGTTCTATGTTATCATTTCTATTTTAATTCAGCTAATTTTTTATTTTCTATCTAGTTGTATCGTTGAACCTTTCAGTGTTAATAAAATTTACATTTTCTTTTCTTTTATTTGCATGCAAGTCTTTCTTTAAGAATACAAAACAAGTATATTTCATTTCATGTCCTGCGTCAGGGTGTGATGGAGTGGTATCGGAGTCTGTGTTTTGTATTTAACTTTCTTTGACTTTGTATCTCATATCACTTGACATTTTAGGATTGGGTAGGGGATAGATTATTCTTGTAAGTCGGTATTCAATCGATTTTGATTTTACGTATCTTTCAATTGTTTAGAATGACTCCAAAAAAATAGGCATTGCAGCCGCTCGTGGAAGAAGAGTTCAGAGAGCTACTATAAATGATGTGCCTATTTCTAGGGGTCTTCGCTCCCCTAATCACCATCGTGTTGATCCTTCTCAATCCACTAAGACTGTTGGAGCACATAATCTCAACATGGAAACTCTCCTAGAAGTGATAACACAAATGTTAACCAAGTGTTACAAGCTAACTTTGCAATCCAAATTGCACAAGCAGTCCAAGCTATCCAACAAGCGATGCAACCAGCAGTACAAGCCACTCCAACAGTGCCACCAGTGGTTGCTATGGAGGCTCAACCCAATCAACCAATGGCAATGACTAATGTGAGCATTATAGATCAAGTGATGCACCAGTTTCTGAAGACGCACCCTCCTACCTCCAATGGCACTGAGGACCTGTTCCATGATATTGAGAAGAGACTTCGAGGAATAAAGTGTTCTGAAGACCGTAAAGAGGACATTACGACGTTCCAATTGCATGAAGGAGCTAATGATTGGTAGGAAAGTCACCATCACAACACATTTGGACCTAATGCAGTAGTATCCTAGGCGGATTTTGAAAGATCATTCTTGCTCATCATAACACCAAAAAATTTGCATCCTTAATAAACCCAAAGTGATTTGGGCTCCTAAATTTAAAACCTTAAAAATTGTGTATGTATGTCTTCATAACAGGACCAATAAAGGCACATGGTACCCAGACAATGGATGCTCAAAATAAATGACCAATAATAGATCAAATTCATAAAACTTAGTCCAAAAAAAAAAGGAATGATAACTCTTGGCAATAACATAACATGGATGTGATAGGTTAAGCAAATGCCATTAAAAAAAATTATATTATGATTGAGAAGATCCTGCTAGTAGATAAATTACAGCACAACTTACCTAAAACTAGTCAATTGTCTGACAAAGATTAAAATTTTTTCTACTACTTGCATATTGAAATTGAATGATAAAATCATTTTAGAGTGGTAATACATGCTTGGCATTGACGGCATCAATGAATGTAGTCGAATTTGCCTAAGATTTTCATTAGATAAGCAATGCTTATGATATAGAAGAACCCTTGAAAAAAAAACACGTATCTGAACCTAAATTCGTAATAAAGGTCATCTTTGCAATGGATGTTAGTTAGGTCAAAGCATCTTTCAAGTCTCTCAACACAATCATTACTGGACCAAGAGATACTGCATATCAATTGTTTGATCCGATTAGTGACAAAAATCTCTGAGGGAAACCATAAGGGTTCAATATTGTGGAGAACTACATTAGATTTACAAAAGAGTGAATCATTTCATCAAAATATCTTATTTCCAAAATCTATAGTGATCATGAAGGAGAATTAAAAAATGAGAAGTTTGAAACTTTCTGCAAGGAGCTCAAGACTGCGCATAACTTCTCGGCATCTAGAATGACCCAGCAAAATGGAATAGCACAAAGAAAAAATGAGTATAAACACCTAAGCTAAATGAGTATAAATTGCTTGGTACTTCTGAATTAAAGAGATGAACACAATCTGCTCTCTTAAATAAAGTAAAAATTAAAACAAACTAAATAAGGGTTACAAAATGCATAGCATTAAATTATCTCATTGATATATATTCGGACACAACTTTTTTGTACTGAGCAGTAGAAAAGCAAATTTAGACAAACTTTATGTAAAATTTGATGAATAATTTTTGAGATATTCTTCTACAGAAGAGAGCAACAAAATCTTGTTTTCTACTTGATCATGAGACTAGAGAGCATCCTATGAACGAATACAACAACAACAGCAACAACAAAGCCTTAATCCCACTATGTGAGGTTGGCTACATGAATCGTTTTTCTCCATTGCGTCCTATTTAGTGTCACATTTTCATTTAGTTCTAATAAATTAAGATCATTTTTTATACAATAAGCCCAAGTCTTCCTAGGTCTACCTCTGCATCTCTTAACAGTAATCAAATATAAAACATCTACTCTCCTAATCGGATCATCAGATGTCAACGTTTAAAGAGACCAAACCATCTAAGACGACTCTCTCTAATTTTGTTCATCATTGGAGCTACACCAACCCTATCACAGATATATTCATTTCTCATTTTGTCTCCAAGTGTAAAGCCACTCATCGGCCTAATCATTCTCATCTCGGCAACACTTAACTTAGTATTATACTTCTCTTTTAAAGGCCAACATTCAGTGACATAGAGCATTGCAGATCTCACCACCATCTTATAAAATTTTCCTTTCATAAGAATTGGAATAAGGTTAATGATGATAATGCAAAAAATGTGATGTGTCTTAGAAATACTAGAGAAATGATATGAATTAACAGGTCATAATAATCTATACAAAAAAAAAAACCATATTAACAAATACCATATAGTAAAGCCCTCAAAATTTTCATTCAAAATATCTTTTAATACCTCTTGCTTAAATTGTTTGTTTCCGTGGGCTTCATTTGAATGAAGAATTTTTACAGCCGCAACTGTATGATGGAAAGTACCCTTGTAAACTGAGCCAATTGCTCCCATTCCAATCTTTAGAGTATCAGAGAATGCTGAGGTGGCAGATTTTATCTCCTCCCATGTATATATTTTAAATGGTTCCACATTAGGTAAAACTTTCATTGTATGCCTTAGATTCTCACAAGACGCATGAGCAGCACTCTCCTCTGCATCAGCTCTCAGAAAGATTTCCTTTCTGACAAACTCCATATCCTCAACCTCTCTTTCTGCTGCTTCAAGACTTCTTGTCACTTGCACAGTCAATTCACTGGTTTCCTCTTCTGTGTGCTCCATTTCTTTGAGTTTAGCCTCTGCCTTCATGTGGCTCGCATTCAACTTACATAACAAACAAAATCAACAAAAAGAGAAATATAAGACATCAGTCCAGCAAATATCTTTCGATAATATTATTTTGATACTCTGTTCATGCTCACTTGATCAGAAGTATCAAATGATTCATTCTGCAAACCGTCTACCGTGTCCAGATAATCCTGATGGTGTCTGAGCTCAATCCTTAGCTTATGAAGCTCCAAATTGATATCAATCTGCCAACAGAACCACCATCAGAACAAATAATCATAGCAACAGTAAGCTTTTAAGTCAAGAATTAATAGTTTTCAGGAGGATCACATAAATATTAAACCATGAAGATTCATCAAGCTCTATGATAGGTTCAGTTCAAGTACCTGGTCCGCAGAGTTTTTTAAGTCGGCTCGAATATTATCCACTATTAAAGAATCTGCAACAAAGGAACTACTGAAACTACCAATCATGCGGTTATGAAAATCTACATTTGAGAGGCTGGTAGAAGAACTGGAAATGCTTGCAGCAGCAAAAAAAGATGAGCTATTATCGATGGCATCAAAGCTACTCCTACTGTCAAAACTATCATTCATGTTTGAAATAAATTGGTCATGCTGAATAGTTGGAGAAGTGACTTCATGTATAAAGGGATTCACTGCAACGTCATCTGTTTCCACAAGAAAATTAAGGAATGTTACAAAAGGGATTCATATCAACATACCTACAAAATAGGTAGAATCATTAAATGACAGTTATGCGCGGGATCCAAAAGAATTCTTAACAGAGTCAAGCAAAGGCAGGATTTATGAAGTCCGTGCCAAATAATTAAACAAGACTGCCTTCTCCTGATGAAAAAGTTAATGATTTCAATGATCAAGTATAAAAAAAAGCTTAAACAAATTAAAAAGAAAAACAATGGCCATTTTAGAACATGGATTAACAGACAAGATTTGAAATAACCAACAAACCCACGACATTCTTGTATGCATAAGTCGAAGTATAAAGATGTTAGAAATTAAAATAGGTGTACCCCCTATCCATGCCCTCATAGTTATGGAAGAAAGTCAAGAAAATGAATATCTTTCGGAAGCTATTCAACTAGTAAAGAAAAAATCACAAGTAATTTTCACAGAGTTGCCCCTGGGATTAACTTCAATGTGAGATGTCCGGCATCTAATTGACTTTGTCTTTAGTGATGTTGATGCGGGCGTCCAGCTCCCTCACAAAAATTGTCACGACTTCCAAAGCCCTAGACCGGTTCGGTCTAAGCAAAAGAGGGACCAACTGATCCTTCTAGGCTTGGGCTTTCCTACTATTTGGAGAGGGGTACACCCTCTTTACCCTTGATCTATAAGTATGTAGTTTTCGTGTTTTAGGTTAGTTTTGAATTATCGACGTCCAATTTTCCCTTCTAGGGCTGTATCTGAAGATAAGCGGTGCACCAGTTGTATCTCATCCGAGGCGGTGGTTATCCTAGACTCTCCCCATCCTCAACATTACCTCCGTTGCAGCCAACTTCACCATCACCGCTGAGCCAACTTCATCATCACCGCTCAGCCATTCCTCTTCCCAAGAAAAGCAACCTTGTTGCCTCCCTGCAGCCCATCCCTTCTTCCTACCCAGCACAGCCATATCTAACTTTCCACAACCTCCCCGCATAACTGCCAATCGCCGCTCCTCGCTGCCGCCATATGGAAAACAGCAAACCTGATGTATTTGAGGTGTTTAAGAGTGGAGGTTCATGATTCAAAATGAAACAGACTGGAGTTAAAGTGTCTCAAATCATATAATGGTAGCGAGTATCATGATAAAAGGATTAGAAGTTATTGAACATCAAAATAAATGAAGCATGAGTTCACTATTCCGATGATACCATAGCAGGTGAGGCATAGTGCATGAATAGAGCCATCAAAGAATATGCCAGAAGTATGATGTTGCAGGTAGGCTTGACAAAACAATTCTGGGCAAAAGAATTGCCTACTACAATTTATCTGATCAATCGTGGTCTGTTAGTATTTCCGAATGAAGGCTTACCTGAAGAAGCCTAAAGTGGCAAGGAGATGAATCTATCTCACCTGAGAGGACTTGGTTGTTTATGGTATGTTCATGTTGATGCATGATCCAGAAGTGAGCTCGATTTAAAATCAGTCAGGTGCACTTTCATTAAGTATAACTCGGATGAATTTGTGTATAGATTCTAGGATTATTGGAATCAAAAATTTATTAAAAACATAAATCTTACTTTCAATGAAAATGAGATGTACAAAGACAAAAACAGAACTCAGGATTGTCCATCAGTTACTTCTGAAAACTCCTTCAAATACAATCAGGTAGAAGATACTGATGATGAAGAAAATGGAGAAATGATAGATGCTCAATCTGGTGAAGCAACAGAAAGTTTCCCAGTCAACTGCTACTGAAGTCAAGAGGTCCAACAGAGTTACACGACTGATACAAAGGTATTCTCCTGTTTTGTACTATCTTTTGTTAATAGATAGTGGTGAAACAAAGTGTTACGAAGAAGTCGCTCAAGTTGAAGACTCAAAAGAGTGGGAGTTTGCCATCGAAAGATGGATGCAGTCACTAAAGTCAAATTACACAAAGTTTAACAAAACTACCAGATGGCAAAAAAACACTACACAATAAGTGGATCTACATATTGAAAGAAGAGTTAAATGATATCAAACGCCACAACGCAAGGCTTGCTGTGAAGGAATTTCAACAAAAGAAAAGGAGTGGACTATTAAGAGATATTGTATCCAGGAGTGAAAATAACAACTATCAGAGTTGTGTTGAGCTTGGTAACAAAGAAAAATCTACATCAAGGGCAGATAGAATAAAGACAATTTTCTTGCACTTTGATTTAGCAGAAGAGTTGTATATGGTGCAACCACAAGGATATAAAGTTCTAGGAAAAGAAGACATGGCCTATAGATTGAAGAAAAACTAATTTGTGGCCATGTAGACATATAGGTTTCAACATGAGTGAGGCAAAATTATAGGTTTCAACCTATATGTTCCTAGAGACATGACCCTCTATACATGCTCTCATAGTTATGGAAGAAAGTCAACAAAAAACCATGTAGGACTTCCTAGAGACATGTTGAAAGCTATATGTTGAGAAGGTCCTACATGGTTTCAACATGACTGAGGCAAAAGTAATTTGCACCCCCTTAGGAAGTCGCTTTAAGCTGTCAAATGAACAATCACCTAGGTTTGAAGTTTGAAGCAGAAAAAGTATTGATGGGGAGAACTATGTAGACTTCAACAATTGAAAGTTTGATATATGTGATGATATGTACAATATCAAATATTGCACATGCAATGAGAATAGTCAGCATATACATGCATAATCTAGAGAAACATCATTGACAAGAGATAAAGTGAATTCTCAAATACTTTAGAGAAGCACTCAACAAGGTACTTTATTTGAGAGGTGTGAGAATTACTACAGAGATACATAGACTCAGATCTGGCAAGGGATATTGATGGTAAAATAAGTACAACAGGGTATGTATTCACTTGTGGGAACACAGCAGTGCGTTGAATCTCTACGCAATAGAAGATTGATGCCCTAGTAAGGAAATGATTTGGTTGCAGAGATTTATGATAGAATTGGGCAAGGAGCAAGGGATTGGAAAGTCTTATAGTGATAGTATAAGTGTTATTCATCTAACTAAGAATGATATTTTTCATGTGAGGAAGAAACACATTCAGCTAAGGTATCACTTTATTTGTTCTCTCCTAGAAGATGATTAGTTATCTTTGGAGAAGATACATACAACTCAGAATTTTATAGATATGTTGACTAAGGTGGTTATAATTGTGAAATTGAAGCTATGCTTGGCTTCAGTTGGAGCTCAAAAAAATTGAGACCAAGGGTGAGTAACACTAGTGTACACAACTATGAAGATGGTGCGAGTTTGGAGAGGTGGTCGTAAATCAGTCTCCAAGTAGGAGATTATTAGGTGTGAAGCCTGATTGGCAAGGAGAAGCGCCCAGGAATAGTGCAGCGCACAACGCAATGCCCAGCGGGTGTCCCTGCGCCTAGAAGCAGTCAACCAAGCACCAAAATGGGCGCCCCAATCCCAGTGGAACACCTAGGCTCCCAGCCAAAGGTCCCAGGCTGAAACCTATTGACATTAGAGGAGCTTAGGTGCCTAGAAGACTCAGTTTCAGAAGGAGGTGAACCGGCCATTAAGCCTCTGAAGCGGTATTCTGCAATTATTACATTTTGTTTAATTACTTGTTCGTGTGCTTCTATTCAAGTATTTTGTTTCGAATCTCTCCAATCGGTATTCTGCAATTATCTTAATATCATAGCAAGTCTCCAATTTAGTCCCCCAATTTATCCAACCATACTTTTTTGGTCATTTGTCATCATACATATAGAATTTTTAAAAGTTGGCAGCCAGAAGCAAACTTTAAAGGTATTACCAATTGTTATTTGTGTGTAGATAAGATTCAGGTAGCTATCTATGATGTTTGTTATTTGTGTGTAGATAAGATTCAGGTGGCTATCTATGATGTTCTTAGCCATGTGTTCAACGCAAAACAAACATGTGAGGGGCAAAAAGCTATATGAGAATAAGGATGCGAAAAAAAATTCTAAGAAAAAACATGAGCATGATAAAAGCTTAGCAAAGTAACAAGTTATGGAAAAGATATAAGATAGGTGACGCGGGATTGGTCAGGATCTGGACCGGTTTGGTCCAGATTGAGAGAGGGTTGGTCGGCCGCCTCTAAGCATAGGGTTGCAGCCCAATTGGAGTGGAGCCCACTCTTAATAGTAGTAGGTCTTTTTAAGTGTTTCTTTGATGTTTAAAGCTTGGTTTTTTATTAATTTGAGTTTATGGAGTCGCTAGCTCCTCCTTTCCTATTCTAAGGTTGTATTCAAGGGTTTTGAATGGTGCTCTGGCTGTATTTTATGAGGTGGTGTGTATCCTCTTTTACCCTTCCCCTACTCTCCCCTGCATTGATTCCCTTCATCCTCTTAACTTTCCCCTTACTACCGCCACTCATAAAAAAGCAATTATGCGGTCCTGCCCAACCCTACTATCATTCTTCTTGTCATTCACCGAGAAATGAAAACCAGCTATTACAGCTTGCCGCCAGCTTGTTGAATCCCTTCTCCTAGGCACCACCTATATCCTAGATTCAACCTAGTTCTAGTGTTGTGTTGCTATTTTGTTGCAATTTTAGATTTCCCTGTTGTTTGATATAATTTCAAATTTTGAATTCAGAAATAATATTTATTTTCCCTAGGTTATTTGTTAAATTTCGGTATCAAAAGGTCTAAAACTTTAAAACAAGTTTAGCTGGCGTATGAAGCAAGGAATAGTTTAATTTAGAACTATTCAAAATTGTTGGTGCACCAATATTCATAGAACCTACCAGATTGTCCTATGGAAGAGCCAGCAGAAAAGGACATAGCAGGACTTGAGCAATTTTCATCATTTGTCATCTCATATACTGCTGATATCGCTGCACGGATGGAAGCTAGCTTACCATTGGAAACTACATACACTGTACAGAAGCTAGGACTGGATCCTGCAATTTTAGAAGATAGTTTGTTTCCCTTCCTGCAAATCATTTCAGATATTAAAATCAGAAAGAATTTATTTTAAATAGCGCATGATGTGTCATCACATTTTTGAACCTACATATAAGTTCTAGACCCAAAACTGAAAGCATTCTTAACTACGAATATAAACTATAAGCAATGTCAACGAAAACAAAAGCCTCAGCATTGAAATTCAGTGTTGAGAACATACAACTGTAGAACGGAGAACACTAACTTAGTAAAAGTTTCATAAAAACTAGTAAAAGGAATGCTAATAAAGCCTACCAATCTTTCTTCATATTGAGAAAATCCAGAAGAAAATTAATTATTAAGGGATGGATATTTAAATACTGTAAAATTAACAACAAGAGCAACCGGAAAGAATATTCATAAGCATGCAAAAAAATGAATTTTTAAACCATCAATCAAATATGATATAATAAGTTTCTTTAGGACAGTTTCTTTCAAAATTTCAATAATATAATCAAGTAGTTACAAACTATCTATGAACAATTATACATTTATGCAAGCCAAGAGCCACACAAGCCCAATCTACATAACTTAAAAACAGATTTGAGTAGATATTTTAAAATCAAAAACCATAAATCAAACATCAACAAATTTTGTTATCAAAGAACCTCGCTGGACATAATCAATCATTAACTCTATCCAAAAAGGCAGTTTACCTGTCAAAAACGATCACTCACAATGCAGTTACCAAAATATGCACTATCATTAACATATTCATATCATGCCCTTAATCATTAATCCTTTGATTGATTGTGATTGTGCTATCTCGATAAAAAATGCCCAAAATTCTTTGATTGATTGTGATTGGCCTAGGAATGGTCATATTCCATTGGATTTTTTTAGGAAAGATGAAAGTTTTAAAATGCTTTCAAAAGCATAAATTTGTATTAAAATATTGTTACCATTATCCTCATCATGTAGAAATGAAGATTCAAAGAAATTTATGAGATCTTTCATGCATGATCAAGCATACCAAAGTGAAATCAAGACAATAAACTTTTTTGTTCTCTCCTATGCAACAGTAGCACCTCTCTCTCTCTCTCTCTCTCTCTCTCTCTCTCTCTCTCTTATAATTACACTACGCAAAGGAGGAATTTTGGCCACAGCACTTTTATCCCTACCCAGGAAATAAAATCAGTAGCATTGGGAAGCATATCAAAAGTGTATCACTAGCTACTGTTCTGTAAAATGCATTGGCGTCGAGGAGAAAAAACTCTACCAGAAATGATAAAAGAAGAGTTAACTAGAATACTCCTTACCTGCTAAAGAGAGTTTGAGAAGAAGCTCCTACAACAAGTACTTTAATCTTTAGTTTTGCAATCTCGTTTGATAAAGCATCAGCAACATCATCTGCTTCAATAACAACATTTGTAACTTCTACCTGCATAAAAATATAGGTAAATGGATTGCCAAGAGTTTTTCCTTGGTGTAGCAAAAAACGTAAGAGAAATTCTAACCTTTCTACCAGCAAACAAATGCTTGTAAGTGAGAAGCATTGAATTCGCTTGCCACTCTACTTCTTTCTTGTATGCAAAGGCTATGTCATCCCTCACTTTGGAAATAGGAATATAATTTCCCACTAAAGTTTAAACATTAAAATTATAGTGAAATAAGCATATTTCAACTTATTTATATACAGTTAAAGAAAGAAAGATGCTGAGAATGCAGCATATACTCACATTAAAAAAAACAAGCCAGATAAATAATATATGCATGGAGAATGCATATTTGCATGATCTCACATGCACAATTAAGAATGGATAATAATTCTAGAATAACGAAGGTTCTTCAACAATTCAATGCAAAAACTTTTAGATCCTTTATCACAGTCAAATATCACATCTAGCACCAATAGTTATCACGCAAGCAATTCCTCTAACTCTCTAAGCAGCTCAATTGTACTCGCAATCTATGGTGCCTGATTCCGAATATCATTCTCAAAAACTTCAGCTCAGCTTCATGTCATTATGGATTTTCAATTTTCAAAGCCATACATAATCTAACTAGAATTACATAAGAACAAAAAAATATATATTTCAGAGAATCAGACCGCTAACAATGAAGATAGATTATTTGCAGGAAAGCACTGCTAAGTTAAACAACACCACCTATTATAGCAATACTATCCATGTAAGAAGTTCACTCACTTGATTAGCAATATTCAACATAGTTTCTGCGATTCAGTTCACAAATGTAACATTTTTTAGTAGGAAAATACATAGTTTGTCCTTTTCTTCATTGAATCGGAAACATATTATTTATTTTTTCAATTTAACCAAAAGCAACAAAGATTCGATAAAAAATATGAGAGGATGTTGGATGGTATGTAGAAAACTGGATTGTTGAAGAACACCACAAAAAAAAAAAACATTTAGTAGAGAAGTACAGAATTGGGTTGTCAATCTTGACTCACTTGCTGTTGGAACACTGGTTATCTCAGGGCGAACATACAAAAGCCTGAAATGGACCATTCCTTCGGGGACAAATTTTTTCAAAGCCCACTGCACTACACGTTTACTTCTTTTAGATCCATTGACAGCCACTGCAACGGTTCGAAATGACGCAGCTAATGGTTCCCCAATTTCTTCTGCTTCTTGAATTTCCATTCCTTTAATTGTTGCTCATATAACAGATTCCTCCTGTTATTAGAAACAAAAAGCAAATTCAAATCATCCGGAAGGCTCATTAATCGTTTTAGGAAAATAAAAATTATATAAATAGGTAGTCCAAAGTCCAAAACAAAGATTGTCATGAACTGCGCCCACAATTCAGGTTGCTCCTAATCTAATTTATGTCCTATAAACCAGAAGATGAAACTTAAAACTACATATTTCCAACACTAATGTCAAAACAAACAACTTAAAATAGAATTGTAAACATAAAGTTGAAAAAGTGCCTCTTTTCCTATCGAATATTCAAACAAGGGGGATATAACAGAAAAAAAAAACGGAAAACCTTAAATTAATCAAATTGCCTTCGAAGCTTGAAACCCAACAAAATTTTTTAGGACAAACTACTTTGGCCACCTAATTAAAATTGAAAATCATTGAAACTAAGGGTTCTGCAAGCGCAAACCTTCTCTAAGAGCCAAAAAAAATAGAGAGAAAAATTATCCAGACGAAACACATTCAACTTCAAGAGCTTGAAGACTTTGTAAGTTTGGGGGAGATGAACAAAACAAGAAATGCAGTTTTTAATCACGGAATTGACAGAATAAGACCGCAAGACAAGAGCTTCTAAGCTTTTAATTACTCGGAACGCTGAAACCCTGCATTATGGAACGAAGTAAAAGGTAGGAGCTTGACCTTCTCGAGTTCTGGCCTCCCTCCTCCGGCTCAAATTTTCAAAAAAATATTTAATAATATAATATATTCTATTCATTTTGTAGCATAAGAGCAACTTCATATACATCTTATTTACACATAATTATGCTACAAAATTATTAATATATATAAAGTTTTTCCGTATTTCCTTCAAAATTTTGTATTCTGTTCCGCTTATTAGATTTTCAAGTACCTTTACAAAATTTTTATATAACTATTTTAATAAATTTATTTAAAAATTTAAGACCTTGTATATACATTAAAAATATGATCACACGATTCTCAAGAAAATTCAACAGGTCTTGCTTATGAACACCAAAGGGCTGTATTTGGATAGTCAAAAGATGTAAATAGAAATGTCAAGTGTTTTCTTCAGTTGGAATTTTGAGCTGACCTAACAGAAGTACAGTCGAACGAAATAATAGATGTCACCTAATTCGAGAGACGGTGTTTGTAACTAACTTCCTCAACTGATTCTAAAACACCTTTCTAATCCTCTGAGAAGGCCCCGTGTCTAAGGAGGGATGCTCGTCATACTACGATGATACATGCTTTACCTAATAGTTCAAGTACACCCTAATGACAAGAGAGGGCCTCCACTTAGGATTTCAATGAGGAGGGTCGATCGATGACCTCTCAGCCAATTGAATGTACGCCTACTGACCAAAGTTTTTCAGTTAACCAAATGACAAAATTAATGGGTCATTAAATGCCCCTCTTCAAACATTTATGAATACGAAATAGTGCAAATGTCAGTTATGAATATGAAAAAACCCCGGAGTCAGTTACAAATATGAAAATGTATGGTAATATTGATTTATAACGTTTCTATTAAAATAAGGATAAATATGTATTTTAATATATACGCCAGGAAACCATAAATAGAGGGTCATTTCTACAAAAAAAAATGACTACTAAATTTACTCTTTCAAAACTTGTGTTATTGTGCACTATGTTTCCTCTCTTAATCTTTCTTTCTCTTTGTTTCCTTCATCCATCTAACACTCTATACCTTAGGTGTAATCCACATGACATATTTGGATTCAATATCTTAAAAGGTGCGATGAGCATGAAATCATATCACCTACAAAAATAGGAGCATGTCATGGAGAATGAACTCATTTAGGAGATACCACAAATATAGAGTAAGCGAGGAAATTTGTGCAACCAAAAATTCAAAAACTCTAAGATCAAATGGTGGGTTAGATGGCAGAATTGATCCTTGTGCTACTCGAGGGAAGAATTGTAAGCTCCTCAGTAATAAAACCCTCAAGAAGAACTTAAACCCCAAGGCTATTGAGCAACTCATAGGATAAAAAGGATGGAAGACTCCCAGCATCATGATAGTGTTGGGCCTACACCGCTTATCACAACACAATTTGGACAAATGGAGGTCTACCTTCAGCCAGAGACTATGGTCCCCCAATAGATCTCCTATGTTGAGCCATCAGAGAAGTTCAAACTTCCATCTTTGGAATCTTAATGATCCAGTCAACCATATCGCCTCCTTTAAGTCGATTGTCTGCCTTCTCAAAATCTCCAACATACTTAGGTGTCGGTTATTTTACACCACACTAAGGGACTTGGCTCTCAGATGGTTTAATGGCCTTCGAAAGAAGTAATCATCTCCTTTGATGAATTTAAGAAAAAGTTCACAATGTAGTTTGTCAGTGCCCAGAAGCCTTGTAAGAACTCACAAGCACAGTGACACGTCAAGCAAGGGGCAAACAAGAACCTTTATGTGTATGTCTCTAGATTCCCTAAAGAAATTCCAAAAGTGCGGGATCTAGAACCGCGACAACACAAGCTGCCCTGACCCAGGGGCTAAGGAACAAACGATTCAAGTATTTTATAGGGTTTACAACATCCCAATAGCTTGGTCGAACTCTTGGAGCTAGCCAACCATCATAATGCGGTGGAGTACGTACCCATTAATGAGAAAGCTAAATAGCCTATTGCAGCTCACAAAAGAGGGCCTCGCGAGATGATTGATGGAGATTAAAGGATGGCCCACAAACCAAACGTGAAGTTAGTTGACTGCCACGTGATGATAGTGAGGCTGGCAAAAATTTTTGAAGTGGATGGAGCCAGTGGAACGACCAATCATCAGCTGAGAGTTTCAATGGTTGGGTAAGTAGAGGCCATACAAAATAAGGAGCGCCTAAAAAATGCTCCACTTATGAGAAATAGAGCTTTTCTTTGGAATAAAAACAATTTCTGCAAATACTACAAGGACCACAATTAGGGGTGTAGACGAGCTGAATACGAGCGAATCCTGGGCATGAGCGAAGCCTAATACCCAGGCTCAACTTGTGTTCAGCTCATTCATATTTCAAACTCAAAAGGTGTGTTCGTGTTCGACTTATTTTCATAGCGAGTTGAACATGAGTTGTTCATGAACTAAGAGTCGTATTGATAACCCTAATCACATATACATAAGAAGTTAAGGGTTGGGGCAAATATTACTGTTTATATTAAAACATCATTTCAATCTAATTTAATAATTTTTATTTTATTTTCTTAATTAATAATTTTACTTGCTTATAAATCATTATAGCCCTGTAGTCAATTAAATCCTTAAAAAATACTACTCATCAATATATATAATTGATGAGTAATATTTTGAGCCAAACATGAACGAACAAATCTTTGTTTATGTCTGACTTATTAACTTAGCGAACGAGCCAAACACAAGTTTCTTAACGAGTCAAACACGAGCTCTTTTGACAGCCCTAACCACGATCATGACACCTTCCGAATCTAGTTGAAAAGATGATATGAGCCAAGAAACTCAAGGAGTTCGTGGCCCTATGTGTGTCAACCCAAAGATAGGGGAAAGCCACTTTAAAGAGCCTGTTTGATCCAACATTATCTACATTGCAAGGATAGTGCCAACCATCCTGGAAGAATACTCGGTCAGGAGGGCCAATCATAAGAGGCTTCGAACAAAGGAACTTTGCACTGTTGTTTTTTCTCTAAATCGAAAGCCTCATCCCCTGATCATTATTACTTACGTGGATTTTCCATCAAAGGAGAATCCCTACAACAATGTTGTTGTGGTTACGATAATGATTAACAATGCCACGTGGGTAGTATTTTGGTTGACACTTGCAGTTCAGGGGATATCTTGTTCAAGTCAACCTTTGACAAAATGCATATATCGTTCGATTGGCTAGTAGAGCCAACTGGCCCCCTCTATGGTTTCTTTGGCTACTGAAAGGAAGCCCTGAGAATAATTGAATTTTTTGTCACCTAGAGAAGGTAACATCTAGTTTACCAATATAGAGGACTTCTTGGTGGTTGATTTGTCACCCACTTGCAATGTTATTTTTCATTGCCAACTCCTCAATGACTTCAGAGTTGTGGTCTCCATGTATCACATCATAGTAAAGTGTCTCTGCGACAGAGAGATAATTGTCATTTGAGGTAATTTGGAACAGTCTTTGACATGCTACCTTCAAGTTGTCTGAAAAGTTTAGAAAGATTTGTTTAACATTCAAACCAATGAGAGAGGGGTCTCAAGACCAACGAGACAACTATGGAGAGTCCTGGTGTCAATGGAGAGTTGGGTAAATTTTTCTTAATCAGTGAAAGTTTCAGTGCAAGTTATAAAGACTTGTTGATCTAAAATCTCCGAGAGCATCAAGACATTTTTTTTCGGATCGATCATTGAAATGCCAGACATCCAAATTGATGTAGCATACCACCACTTGAACTTTAGTCGCGTTGCTCGACCAATGAAGCAAAAGATGAGAACATAGATCATGACTTTAGTTGGGTCGATCTAGGAAAAGGTGTAAATGCTTAAAAAGGAAGCTATATTCAGAAGATACAATACCCAACTTGAGTCTCAAATTTGATCAAGGTCTAGAAGCTAAATGATAAATGGAGAATGTGCATAGAATTCATGAACCTGAACTCTGTCTGCCTAAGGGACAATTATCCCTTGACAAGGATCTATGCTCTAGTATGCACAACAATCGACCATTCAATAATGAGCTCCCTTATAGCCTTCTCAGGCAATCACCAGATCAAAATGAATCTAACTAACACGGAGAAGATGAAATTTTTCACGAGTGAAGCCATTTAATATTATAATGTAATTCCCTTTAGGTTAAATAACGTTGGGGCTAACTACATCCGTTTAATAAATGTAATTTTTTTTATCAAAAAGGAAAAAAATATTGAAGTCCATGAAAATGATGACCTAGTTAAGAGTTGGTCGGCCGAACAACATATAAATGGCTTAAAAGAAACATTTCAAATGCTCAAAAAATATAATATAAAACTTAATCCACTTAAATGCACATTTGGATCTTCAGTCAGCAAATTCCTTAGATACCTCCTGACACCCAAATTTATTAAGGCTACCCTAGAGAAGGTTCAAGCACTAGCAGTTATGCCCTCTCCCTAGAGCACTATGGATGTGACAAAGTTGACTGGAACGAATAACAACGCTCAGTGAATTCATGTCAAATTTGGGCGACAAATGTGTAGTGTTCTTCAAAATGCTAAGGAAAGCTAAGAGCTTTGAATGGTCGACCAAATTTAAGCAAGCATTCTAAAGCTTAAAGTAATCATTAGCCTCATCATAGCTACTACAAAAATAGTCGACCAAATTTAAGCAAGCATTCTAGAGCTTAAAGTAATCATTAGCCTCATCATAGCTACTACAAAGCCCTAAACTGAAAGAAAAACTCTCTGTATTTGATAGTATGGCCCGAAGCCATCAGTTTGGTCTTGGTTAGGAAGGAGTTGATAAAGTAATTCTTAATCTACTATACCATTTTGTCTCTCAGAAGAGTTGAGGTTAGGTACTCTATCATGAAAAAATAGCATTTG